CATATGTAGAATACCTTATTCCCCTCCCAGGTGCCAAGGAAATAAATGAGTCCAGTTCTCAGTTTGTCACTCTTAGAATTTTCCACGGAGTCACAAGCATCTGCTCTCATATCCTCCCAGTCTATGGACACTTTCTGAGCATGCACCAGCCTTCGAACCTAGAAAGCCAGTTCTTCAATGGTTCCAAGATGTGCATGCCACTCTCCTCCAGAGCCGTGCCATTATTGTGAACCCGGCACAACCTTCCATGTACCCTCGAGCTTCCCAGGAAACAAAACAGGCTTTTCCTTGTGGGCGGGTTGCATCTCCTTGGCTCATGAGAGCTCCAAACAATGGGGTAGGCGGCCACATGCAAGACCAGAAGGTCTCTCTATTGCTAGAGTTCATCTTATGGAGTGACAATCATGCTGGTCATTCTGCCACGTCTTTTAGGGGCATAGGCTCACGGGTGGCCTTCCTGTAAGCTCCTGCAAAATGATGCACCGCCTCTGAATGCCACTCTCCAAGGAGACACTGAACCTCCAAGGTCAGCACTAGTTGAGTGGAGGAGGCCATCATTAGGCAGCAGACTATCTCCTGCCAAGGGAAGGAAGGACTTGGGCATTGTTCTGGGAATGAGAATTGGTGTGCAGGACCTCACTGTTACTTTTGGTGCAGTGCTGTTCTCATAGAGGGGAGGCATCTTGTGCCCTACGCATCTTCCCACCAATTCCTTTGAGCAATGGAAACTACACAAGGCTTGGTGCAGGCAGTGCGAACCCTTTAAAGTCTCAGTCCCACATCACTGTTGGTGGATCACCAGATGAATGAGGAATGAAGATGGGAGTTAAGGAAGGCAGTAGTCAACAATTTCCCCATCCACAAATCTTTTCCTGTAACTTCTACCCTCGGAAATATCAATCCTCAGTTCCCATCCAGTCTTAACTTTCACCCAGGGAAAATGTACCCCACGAACCAGACTATGTGTGGGACTGTGTCATCCTAAGTGTGATGCCTGGAATCAAATCATGTGTCATCCACTACCACTCATCCTCCCTAATGCATCTCTCTGAAGTAGTGACTGTATGTATCCCTGTCTCCCTTGAAGAAAACCATACGGAGGCCTGTTTAGAAAAAAAATTACAGAATGCATGACTTAGATAAATATCAATGACAGGCAGAACAGATAAACTGAAGGTTACCAGTGGGCAGGGGAACTTCCAAGTTAAAGTCCATGTTGATCGTTTCTCTCCAGGCCTGACTCCTCTCCAGGCCACCAAACAACTGCTACGTCAGTGCTTTTCTCTGACCTTCATGACACCACAGCTTTGTCCCTCTTAGAGCTCTTGGTATCAATCCCACACTTCTGAGGGTGCATTGATCTTCCTGTTTACCTGATGTCTCCATCACCTTAAAGCTCAGTAGGACAAAGCCGTTAGCTTGGTTCACAACTGTGTTCTATCACTGTCTGATGGGGAATTTCATGAAATTCATGTTTGAACAATAAGCAGAGAGGCTTCAGGGGGGAAGAGTAATGTGGACAAAATCACCACAGGGACTGGAACACGGACTGTGACCTCCTCCATAATGCCTGAAAAATTATTTTGTGTTTCCATTTCTATAATGTCTATCATGGGCTTATATTATTTATTAAATTAATTTTCATTAGTAAAATGAATATTACTTATAATCAATTGCAAGCTATATCTTACAGTGAGATTCCTACAATATCTAAGAACATGTCAAAATTGCTGTCCTTATCTTACAGTGAGATTCCTAAAATATCTATGAACATGTCAAAATTGCTGTCCTTCACTTTACTAATAAACATTTCATATTTAAGGGACATTTATTTACTAAGTAAATGTACACCTATAGTTATAATGAAATATTATGCAAGTTTCCAAAATTGATCATGGGGTTGGGATAGGAGAGTTGGATCAACAGTTAAGAACATAGGTTTTTCTTGGAGATGGTCCTAGGTTCAATTCCCAGCACCCTCATGGTGGCTAAAAACTGTCTGTAACTCCAGTTATTGGGGATCTCACACCGTCTTCTGACTTCTATGGGAACTGCATGGCATGGATGCCCTTATGTACATGCAGTCAATACACTAACGCACATAAAGTAGAAAAAAACAAAACAAAACAAAGTTCATCACGTAAAAAAGTATACACATTCACAGATTTTATCTATCTATCTATCTATCTATCATCTATCTATCATATCTATCTACCTATCTATCATATCTATCTATCATCTATCTATCTACCTACCTATCTACCTACCTATCTATCATCTATCAATCTATCTATCTATCTATCTATCTATCTATCTAT